ACTTCAACTTGTCCATACTGATTATATGACTATAATAATTATCATTTATTTTTGATATTTTTTCTTTTGATAAAATGTTGATGATTTGATTGATGAACTTTCCTTATTGATATCATGTTTTGTTATAAAGTCTTTGTACATAAGAGAGTTCTTATTCATCTTGCTGAACACATTTTATCATTTATAAATGAATAAATAATTTACAGACGTTGATATATTTACATATATACATATGAAGACATCACATGACATTCATCAAAGTCAGAAAAGAATCTTGACTGAACTTGAAGATTTAAAAGACTTTGCACTGATTATCAAGAAAAATCAGAATCTTGAAAGAATAGGTTCAAGAGTGTTGACTAGTGTCAAGATTATTTTGCATATTTTCTATGTAAAAGAAAGTCATTTTCTCGGACATGTAGAGAAAAAAAAATGCATGATAACAACTAAGATAATGTTACTCTGGAACTACAGGAATTTTTTCATCTGTAGATACTTTACAATAATATGATGGAATGACATAATTACCTGGAAATAAACAAGTCAATACTCTAATTTCTTTATCTCAATAGAAAAACTTTTATAGATATGAATTAATGATGAAAACTTATCACTATTGACTATTAATTCATCGATTCAAATGATATTTTTTCACCTAAAACTTGCTTGTTAAGATAGAATAAAATTATCGTGAAATGATACTGATATCATCTTAATACAAATGCAACATGAATAGAGGTTTATCTTTAAATTTAACATAATAATTTCGAAAATACCTTAACTCTTTCCATAAGAATACACTCTTGATTCAAAGATGCGTTTAATGGTAAAAAAAAATATGGGATCAAAAACACATTCTTATCTTCAAACGAATTCACACTTGTTAATTAACAAATGTCTTAATAAATTTTTATTCTTCGCATCTTGATCTCAGATTTTTCCTTATGAATAAAATCTTCATTCGCGTCGGAGGATTAATTTAGCTTAAAATCATTTTTAATCATTTGAACATCGAATATTTTAGGCTTTCATTTATTAAAGAAGAAGCTATCACTAAGACGTTTGATTCTTTTTTAAATTGTGTTACATGAAAATAAGACATCTATTCTCAGCATCCTTAATCATCGATGCATGAAAAAGGATAAAGGAATTGAAAATTATATTTTCTCATGTCTTTAAGCTATTGTTTACTAGAAATACTTTTAACAATAATTTTTTTTTTGAAGAGGACTTTCTTCAAATATCAATAATCAACATTATATATTACAGAAATACTAACTGTAAGTTTGACTGAATGTGAGATCAGTTTATTGAGTGACAATAACCATGTAAAGCAGAAGAACAATAGGAGCTAAGAGAAGACAGCGGATAACGAACAGAGAAAAAAAATATCACAGTGACATATATTACAGAAAGGAAAATAAAGGAATAAATCACTGTGAAGTGTGATATGAGCATCAATGATAATATATACTGACGCTAAACGAGGATTGAAATATCTCTTTTAGTCTAACTGGCTTACGACATCTGTTCGAATAGCAGAAAGTGTGGATCCAACTCCCATAAACGGCATCTTTTTCTTTCGTTCTGTCACATAATATGAGTAATACTGCGTCCCATAGCTCTATACATATAGAAGCCAACATGTGATGATAACGGCTCACTCTCAAAAGAGATACAATTTTTGTCTAACATGAATATGATTGAACAATGTACTATATAAAGTATCTATGGCTATTTAAGCTTATGACAGCTATTTAAGTTTTGTATAGCTATTTAAGTATTTACATAGCTATTTAAATTTATTTTATCTATTTAAGGAATTGCATGGTCTTGTAGTTTCTCTTATCTATTTACGTTCATTATTGATATTTAAGTATTTGGGTGACTGTTCAATTGTTTCCTACACAGTTTACTATCTATGTATCTGAAATCAAGCTTGACCTATCTATCGGAGTGTATTTCAGATTTTGCTTTTTAAGAGTGTTACTATAGCCAAATCATCGGATTGAAGCAGTTTGAATAGATGAGGAAAAGATGAAACAGAATTGATGTCGCAAGTCAACGTAAGACGCATGACTTTCTCTCATTTACTTACCTGTTAGAGCAAGAGGAGTGTGGAAAAAAAAAGAGAATAGTGTAAAAAATCTGCATTGTTGTGTTAAATTTGTTTAATTGCTGTAATGGTAGACCTACAATGGCGGTCTAGAAACCTTCACAATTGTAGAAATTAATTGCAATTATTAATGTATGACTACTGTTTCGAGAAAGCGAGTCTGTATCTAGAGAATTTGTTATAGATTACATAGATATTCAAGATTTAGATCGATATGGATGTATTTAAATTGCTACGGAAGAGTTCAGTAGTTCTACAAATACATGAATATCTATGCAAATACTTAAATAGCTACGGAAAGTTTAAATAGCTATGTAAATATTTAAATAGCTATGTAGATACTTAAATAGCTATACAATATTTAAATAGATATGCAAGTACTTAAATAGCTATGGAAAACTTAAATAGGTGTAGAGAACTTGAATAGCTATGATAAAGTTAGATAGCTATGTAAGTACTTAAATAACTATGAATGTACTTAAACAGTTGAACATTTATTTAAAAAGTATCTCTTTTGAGAAGCTACGGATGATAACATGTAGAAAAAGACCAGGACTGATCCAAATCAATCCTCATTGGAGGATGGAGATTGTGCCTGATTTTTCAGGGAGTGTAACATTATTTTTACTAACAGAACACAAGAAAATTTTAGGATTTTGCTGGGAAAAAATGAATACTTTTGAAGATAGGGCAGAGGGAGGTGCTCCAACCTCGAAAACCCCGAGTCTGACCAGCTCTGAAAAAAAACAAATAAATGATAACCTATAGTTCATCGAGAAGAAACCATTGTGGTCAATCAGTGTATATTTCACAAGTCTCTGCATTAACAATTAACATTAGTTTTTCGAAAACAATATTACTCCATTTAAAATATAATTCGTTGATGAAAACATTTTGATCAAAATAAAAACTTACTCTATATACATACAAGTAATTCATCATGCTTTTTATTCTAATCAAATAGTTACAAAAAGATATATTGATCTTTGGTCTACCTTAGAGATAGTCACACATACATTCCAGTATGATTGGAGATTTTTAAAACTTTTCTGAAAACAAAAACTAAACAAGATTCTCCTATGTTCTCACAAATCTGGTTATTTAAAAACTTTTTTTATATTCTAGATGTTACAATAAATAAATAAATAATCTTCAACATATTATTAAAAAGTTTTTAAATATATTCTAAAAAAGAAACTTTAAATTGTTCATCGAAGTATTTTTGTGTACATAAGAAAAAAATGTTTGTACTTGTGCAATAATTTTTACATGAAAAATTATAAAAGAACGTATGTGACGAAAATAAAATAAAATATATAATTGAATGTCTTTAAAAATCCAATTCAATTTAACAAATAGTTTATCTGGTTATTATTTCGTATATTAAATTATTGACAAAGAATAAACTAATCGATAGATAGATAGATAGGATGCGTTAAAATCGATTGAATGAATCATCTCGCTCTGAACAATATAAACGAATAGCTACATTGTTCTACAGTTTCTTTATATTAACAAATAAATATCTCGCGCATCAGAAAAAAAGAAACGAATGGTTTATTTATTTTTATATAAAAGAATGTTGATCTCTTTTAAAACTATTGAAAAAAATCTTGCATAAAAATTAATTAGGAATACTTCTTCTTTTTTTATAGAAAATCAAAACAATGATATCAATAATTTCTCCGGATTCTCATGTATGTGTTGCTATGGATAGACATGCAGTTAGCTACGGCAGCATTCATACAAATTCGTTGTCATCTTGTCTATGCCTATTATTGGATGGAATTGTAGACAGAAAACCGTTCTGTTTTCTATTACATTCATCACGATCTCAAGAATCAGAAGATGATGCGTTAAATGATTTATTGGTTCATTTACTTGAAGCTTTATCAAAAAGCCTAAAAGAGGCTTTAATGATGGATTCATCATCAATTACAGACATTCCAATCAAGAATCTCAAACTATTGGTTGCAGGTGGTCCAATCGGACACCGTGAATTAACAAGAAAATCTTTTTCTCTCTTGAATGAGAATTCTATTATAAATGAAATAGAATCTCTTACGACAGATCCAGAAGTTATTTATCTGGTGAAACAATTATTAAATTCTGTTGTTGTAGTTTCGCCGATTACATACTTGACCACAGAAGAACATGAAATGAAAGGTCAGTTAAATTAATTTCTAAAAACTAGGTTATTAAAAGAGCTTCCATGAGTTGATCGAGCATCTCTTCAATATACGAGGTACTTGATAAATTTTTTTTTTACGATTTGTTTTTGCTCATTCAGAACTTCAATGTCTAAAACTACTAATCCTAAAATTTTAGGTTCTAATACCCTACCCATGAAAAGTTAGTCAATACCAACTTTTAGTACTATCACACCTTTTTGAAAAAAAAAACAGAAAAAAAATATCCTATAAAAGATGTACCGGCTTAAGTTTCAACAGATTGTTAAAAATTTTTACGGTATACATAAGAAAATAGAGAATTAAAAGCTGACAAAAAAGAAGGTATTGTGATATAATGTAATCTCTAACAAGTCTAGTTTTATAAAGCTAATATGAGTCAACGGTGGTCATTTTGATCAGTCGAAATAAAACAATGTATCTGATTGGATAGCAAAACGTCGAAGAAAAAAATGTCGAAAAACGAGAGTCTTAGTGCTCTGCATCATAAAAGTGAGAAATTTATTTTGTTCAACAGGACAAAGTATATGTGTAGATAATGAAAACTAGTTGCAACAAAATAAAACTCGACAGCGCAATTTTAATATAGCATTTATTTTTTCTTCGTTACCAAAAATGATAAAATACTTAATAAGTCCTCAATATTGATTTCTTGGTTTTTATATCGCTCATTTAAAGTATTAGTTCGCTTTTGAATGTCATCAGCTGAAGTTGATTTAGGTCGACGAAAAGCACCTGTATGAACTTGAGCACATAAGCGTTGAATCATACAATCAACCAAATATAGAAGTGATGAAAGTGCTTGAATCTATTTGAATGCCTGCAATTACGTGGTATATATAGAAGAACAGAAAACAATGCTAAAACTGTGTCCTTTGCTGAAATAGATTGTTTTTTTTTATCTTTTACTTGTTCTAGAATGTTCACTTACAAAATGATATGTTGGATAGAAGTATTAGCTAATTATGGCAGTTGTTAAGGAAAATATAGAATGAAAGAAAATCAATATTGTTTCATGAGGACATCTTGAAACTTTCGACATTTTTTTCTTTGATAAAAATTACTTTGACATTTTTTTGTTCTACATCTATTTTTCAACATTTTATTTCGACATATTTTTCTTCGGTGTTTTGCCATCCAATCAGATACATTGTTTTATTTCGACTGATCAAAATGACCACCGTTAACTCATATTAGCTTTATAAAACTAGACTTGTTAGAGATTACATTATATCAAAATACCTTCTTTTTTGTCAGCTTTTAATTCTCTATCTTCTTATGTATACCGTAAAAATTTTCAACAATCTGTTGAAACGTAAGCCGGTACATCTTTTATAGGATATTTTTTTTCTGTTTTTTTTTCAAAAAGGTGTGATAGTACTAAAAGTTGGTATTGACTAACTTTTCATGGAAAGGGTATTAGAACCTAAAATTTTAGGATTAGTAGTTTTAGACATTGAAGTTCTGAATGAGCAAAAACAAATCGTAAAAAAAAAATTTATCAAGTGCCTCCTATATTCGATGCTCTCATGGACTCTCTTAAGTTATTTTTATTGTTTCTCTTTACAAAGAATAAATCTAGATAAAATTGTTATATTTATTTTATAAATAAAAATAAATTAAAAGAAGTCTTTTGTGTTTTTTTATTTTAGGACGCACAGGTAAAAGGATTTTTGAACCACCCGGTATGTCGTTGATCTACAATTGCCAGTTAAAAATGGGATACATGTGGATTGAATGGGGTGGTACATCAAGTTCTGTTCCCATGGCTTGTATGTTTATAACGAACTTCTTGTCAAAAGATGAAACACAATATAAATGGTTTTGGCAGAAAAAAAATATCATAAAAATGATAAAACGTCTTGAAAATGATGAAAAGAAATTACATGCTTTCATCAAAGATGCTAGTAAGATTAAAATTTAGGCTTGTTGCTAAATATTCTGCATTAGGTTCCTATTTAAGAACCAGTCCATATAAGCTACGACCGAACTTGCTCAATCGAGATCGTCAGATTTTGCGCAATTTAGAATATGTTGCAGAGAAAAGAGTTCTAAGAATGTTGCCGCAAGTCGTTTTAAAAGATCGAAGGATCAATGTTTTTTCAAACGACTTGCGGCAAAATTCTTAGAACTCTTTTCTCTGCAACATATTCTAAATTTAACAAAACCTAACGACCTTGATTGAGTAAGTTCGACCGTGGCTTATATGGACTGGCTCTTATTAATAAATAATATTTTTTTTGTTTTTAGATTTTGTGTTATCATCAATCAACTCTAACGTAAACAGACTTTCCCTTTTTCTTAACTGTTTTTATTGTTTCATTACAAGCAGAACAAGACAGAAAATATATGATCTTGAAAAAGTAGAAAAAAAAAAGAGGACTGATATAAAAAGCACTATTCGTCTCTATTTCAAACTATTGTTTTGTTTTTATAAATCAACATCATCTTTCTCTATTAAAATTTCAAGAACATGATCCAATAAAGCTCTTCTCTGTGCTACGTTTTACTTTAACTAAGATGATTTTATTTATTTAGACATGTCATGCTTTAAAAATATATGGTGATGATCTCATAGTCAATGTTCAAATAGAAAACTTCAATCCTGGTAAAAAAAAAAGATTATTGTAAAAAAAAAGACATCTATTTACTTATTTTAGTTATCGGTCGTGATAAAGAAATTCGTCAAATTATTGAAGTTTTATCAGGATCAATAAAAAATAACATTATTTTAGTTGGAGAAGCGGTAAAAGTTTTTATTAAATTATTTATTTTATGTAAATGAGTGTTTTTATTTATTTGAATAGGGTGTGGGAAAAACAAGTATTGTTAAAGGTTTAGCACACTTTATTATTGAGCAAGATATTCCTGATACATTACCTCAACGTTTGATTACATTAAATATCAAAGAATTAATTAGTGAGAGTTATTTTAAAGATTGAATTATTCAGAAAATAAAATATTTTAGATAATGGAAATCATCTTGATGAATTTGAAAAACGTTTTATATCAGTTTTAAAAGAAATAAAAAGTTTAAATGGTGAAATTATTTTATTTGTAGATGAAATTCATTTAGTTGTTCATGCAAAAGGTATAAATTTACTTTAAATATTCAATAAAATATTTAATGAATGTTTTTTTTACTAGATACAATGGATTCGACAAAATTATTCAAATCAATGTTAAGTATGTAATTGTTCTGTATTGATTAAATAAAAAATGTTTTTCTTTAAAGTTGATGGTGAATTTCGTTGTATTGGTGCAACAACTATCGATAAATATAAAACATATATTGAAGAAGATCCAGTATTTGAAAAATACTTTCAACAAGTTTTGGTTAAAGAAATATCAGTTGATGATTGTGTTTCAATATTACGTAGTGTAAAAGATCGTTGTGAATCACATTTTGGTGGTACGATTTATTTATTTTAGTTTATCTTTCTACATTTATTTAATTTAGTTCAAATTCTTGATACAACTTTAGTTAACGCCGCAAAATTATCTAGTCGTTATATAAAAAATCAATTTTTACCTAATAAGGCTTTTTGTAAAGATTTTTAGAAGTTTTGAAAATTAGATTTGATTTTTCGATTTACAGATTTAATTAATGAAGCATGTTTAATGGCATGTCAACGAGCGAATAGTCAACCTAAACTAATTGATCAATTAGAATATGAAAAATTACAATTAAATGTTGAAGCAACAAAAATATCGGAAGAAAAAAAATCAACTCTACCTTCCGACATGGAATATGAAACGATTCCTAATCTTGAAAAAAGAATTGTAGAAAAACAAGATAAAATTACTGAAGAAAATAAACAAGAAGAAGATCGATTGTTAAATATAATTGTTCAACCAAATATTATCTTTGAAATAGGTAAAGATTTCTACAACTCTGTCATTTAATATATGACCTTGTTAGTTTTTAGTTAGTCGATTGACTAATATTTCACAATCAGAATTATCTCGAATAGAAGATGATGATTTATTAAACTTAAGTGAACATTTATGTAGAAAAATTATTGGACAAAAAGATGCTATCAATAGTGTTGTTACTGTTTTCAAAAATCGAGTTCAAATTTCAAGAAAAAATCAACCAATTGCATCATTTTTATTTTTAGGTAAGTCAAGCTAAGAGAAATCTTATTTATATTTGTTTCAATAGGACCAATTGGTGTTGGTAAAACAGAGTTAGCAAAAATATTAGCATTAGGATTATTTGGTTCAATAGAATCAATAAATCATATTAATATGAATAAATATATTGAATCTCATTCAACTGCTAACTTAATTCATATAAAACAAGGTTAAAATAATTTTTCAATATTTTCTTTTATTTATCTTAATGATTTATTTATTAGATAATGTTGTTTGTGGAAAATTAATAGAAGATGTTCAAAACCAACTTTATAACGTTATTTTATTTGATGAAGTTGAAAAAGGTCATCCACAAATTTTGGATATAATATTAAAAATTTTAAATGGTGATTGTCTTATTGTAAGTTTTTTTCTTTATTGGTTGACATATTCTACTGAATGATGTCTATTAGAATGAAAAAGGTCAAATAATTGATTTTACAAATACCATTATTATTTTATCCACAAGTATTGATGCACAATATAAATCCAAACAAGTTAAAAATGTAATTTATTCAAAAAAAAATTCCGATGAAGAATTATCTCAAGCAATTAAAGATCATTTGATGGAAAAAGTTTGCATTCGCTTTTTTTTTATCAATTTAATAATAAAAATTTCTTCTAAAGGTTCGTTTACATTTTCGATCTGAGTTTCTAAATCGTTTGGATGCCATTGTATTCTTTCAACCTCTTTATTTTAATGAACTTTCATCTGTAATTCATCTTCAATTACAATCAATTGGAGAACGTTTCAAAGAACAATATATTACATTTGCTTTAACTGATGAAGCTATTCAATCAATTCTTAAGAGATCTTATAATCCAGGTAAAATAACATATATTTGATTTTATTTATTCTTTTGTTTAATATAGCTTATGGTGTTCAATCATTAAAAACTTATCTGGAACAACATATCATAAATAAACTTTCAACATTACTAACACGAACTGAAATTCCCTCACATTGTCATGTTACAATTGATACTGGTGCAAATGATTCATATAAATTTGATATTCAACAATCATTAACAACAAGTTCAACTTCACACTTAAACATAAAAAATTAGAAGACAAATTTTTTATTTCACTTTATTTTCTAAGAAGAAGATGATCTTTTCACTTTATTTCTTTCTCTACCAATGCTTCTGTAATTGTATTTTCTTTTATTTTCTTTTTATTTTCATGTAGATATACTTATGGATAACCAAAATTTCTGGCAACGTTGCTGGGAATTTTCCAAACAAGTCAGCATTTAAGATTCTATGACATGAATAAATAGTACTACGTCTTGTATCAAAAAATAAAAAATATCTATAAGAAATTTATTTAGGGTTTAATTCTTACATTCTCTCAGATAAAATATAATTATCACAGAAAAAAATTGTGAAAAATGAAATATAATTTCTATCAATATTTTGTTCAATTTCGTGCTGTTTTTGGAATAAATACGAAGCCTATGTATTAGGAACTTGCAACAGCATTGAGACTTAACACTATCATATTCGATAGTTTTAAGATGCGTGAAGAGTTTTCTTGAAGAGAAAAGAAGATATGAATGATCGATATCGATTCAGCCAATTGATTTCCGAGTCCACAAAGTAGCTGTTCGGTCAGTATAACATATTATGAGCAATAATTCACATTGAATGTATTATGATTTTATAGCTGAGGCTTTTCTCCTATAATAAAAGAAAACAACTTATTTATCAGTTCTTCACATGTGAAAAGTCACATAATGTTGAGTCGATCATCAAATAAATGACAAGTACAAATACGAAAGAGTTAGAATTCTCAGTGAAAACTCATCGATATTTCATTATAGATGGTGGCATTATACGATGCTATTATGAAATGATTCATTTGTGGTATCATTTATTTCTATGAACTATTATTTTCGTACGATAATAGTACATGCTTAGATGATTTATTAGCTTATGCAGCTGAACGCGAATAAAATAAGATTTTTACAATATTTCATTCTATTGAATATATTCTCATATTCGATATTCAATAAGAATTTTCTCGAAATAAAATCTTATGGAAAATATTTGCAAATACGTACATTATTCATTATTCTTTTAATAACAAAGCAATATCATCTCCCATCTCATACATAGATACTTTGTTTTTTATTCAGAATTGTTTGTTTACTATATAATATCATCGACCATATTAATCTCGTCATTTTAGTAATAGTGATGGCATTTAACTTTTATCAATTACGAAATCAAGAACAAAATCTTTTGCTGGAAGATGAACACATGGACAAATTACCATTATTATTACCATAAAACTAATATATCAAACAAGAAAACTTTTCAATCAGCTTCATAAGTATTGATGAATCGATTTAAAAAAAGTATTATTTAGTTAACTGCTTCGAAAAAAGTGCTATCTATCAGTCTTTATCTTTGATTATCATTTTGAATTTCATCGAATCTCTGTTTTACTTGCGTATGTAGTCACTGGAAACATACAAAGACATCTTATATATATATATATATAGTGTGTCCTGAAAGTCATTAGAGCTAGAAAAATTTAAATATCTCCATTATGGCTCAACCAAACGAGCTCATCTTTTACCAAGGATAAAGGCATGTTCATAATACAAATCCATATAAACAAGGATATTGAGAATGTTTGTTAAGTATTACTATCGAACTCAACAAGAAAATTTGACTTTTTCACAGAGAGAAAAAAAATAATATACTTAACAAAGGTTCTTACTAATATTGTCAGTATGGATTTGGAGTGTGAATATGCATCTATCTTTGGTAAAACTATCAGTTGGTTTGCTCAAGACATAATGGAGATATTCAGTTTTCTTTTCAATAAAGTATCTTTTGCACTATCCTTTATACTGGTTTTTTCCTACCTGTGAAACAGTAAAATTTTCTTGTTGAGTTCAATA